ACCAAAAAAAAAAAAAAAAAAAAGCCAGACCATATGAAGGGCTCTTTATGTGTATAACCTCATCACTGCCTCATGAGAGTCCTATGATGTCAGATTTTTTTTTTTTTTTGAGTCAGAATCTCTCTGTCACCCAGGCTGGAATGCAGTGGCATGCTGTTTACAGCCACCACAGCCTTGACCTGCTGGGCTCAGGTGATCCTTCTGTCTCAGTTTTCTAAGTAGCTGGCAGCTACCACCACGTCTGGCTAATTTTTTTGATTTATTATAGAGTTAAGGTCTCGCCAAGTTACCCAGGCTGATCTTGAACCCCTGGACTCAAAAAATCCTCTCACCTCTGCCTCCCAAAGTGTTGGGATTACTTACAGGCATAAGCCATACACCCGGCTGAGGTCAGATTTCTTATCCCCATTTTACAGATGAGGAAAGTGAGGCTTACAGTGGGTAAGGAGTATACCAGGGTCAGTTGCCCATGACTGGCCTGGATCTGACTAGGATCCAGGTTGATTTCACTCTAGAATCCATGCTTTTTGCCTCACTGCATGGGTGTGGGAACTTAGAAAAGAGCAGAGGGGCTAATATGACTCCCCTGCCCTTCCAGAGAGGATTCTGGTCACTGTGCTGCCTCCTGAGGTCATCACCCTCCAGGAAGCAGAGCCCATACAAATGCTGCAGATTGAGGTGAGCCATCCCCCTGTATACAGGGCTTGAGGCCCAGCCCCTTGCATCTACTTGTCTCTGGTCCCAGAGTTCTGCTTACTCTATCTCCATTTCCCCCATTCCTTGCACTTGGGCACTCCGTGAACTTCCTCCTACCTGGCCCCGTGGTGTGCCTCTCAGATCCACTCTACTGAATCCACTTGCCTTTTTCAGAAATGAAATTGAGTCTTGTGACCTTGGTCTTCCTCTCTTGACAGGGTGAGCAGGATCTCCCAGAGGTTACTCGCCGCGATTTGGACCTGTTGATTGCAGAAGAAGACGAAGCTATCTTGTTAGAGGAAGGCAGGCCTCTCCTGCGGCCTAGGGTCCGCCCAGCACTGGATGGTCAGACCTCTGGCATGGGCAGTCTGGGACTGAGCAGTCCTGTCATCTCTTCTTTTCTGCCCTCTGAGTTCTGATCTTCTCTCTGCAGAGGTCAAGGAGGAGCTCCGGGCCCCAGAGGGTGTGGCTGCAGTCCCCCCACTCTCGCCTCCAGCTCCTGCAGAGTAAGAGCAGAAATCTCTAGAACGGTAGGGGGTCAGTGCTGGGAAGGATGTCCTAATTACTCTTGCCCATCCCTCAGGGTGGAAGTGACAGGAGAGCTACTTCCAGGCCTGGTCCTGGGTCCTGAGGAGCTGAAGCTGCCAGGCTGGGAGCCTGAAGCCCCCGTCATGGGTGAGTGCCCACCATTCCCCAGGTGGCTTTCCTGGGAGCACAGGTACACTGCTGCAGACAAGGACCCTGTATTCCAACTTGCTGAAGGGGGAACCCTGCAGCTTCCTGCTCTGGTGGCTGCAAGGGCGAAGGGGCTTATGGGACAGAGCCATGATCTCCGGTGTTGTTGCAGAGGTGACTCCCCCACCAGAGCTGCGTCTGCCAGCCCCGCCCAGCCCAGAGGTGAGTAGTAGCCCTTCTAAGCTGCCACCTCCTCCTCCTCCTCTTTGCCCTCCCCTCCCAGAGCTGCCTTACCAAGCCCAGGACCATGGCTAGCTTACATGGGCCTTTGTGCATATTGGTATAGACCCTTTCCATACCCCATTGTCTGGCCTGCACTTCTCTGATGGGTACCCTTGTGTGAGTTACACAAGTGCCTGGAGGCCCTTCCCAAGGCTTTTCCCCATGTGCCTCTAGAGGTGGAGTGTGGGGCCCTGTTAGCAGTCACCAGCATGACAGGAAGAGTAATGGGTAGCCTTGCCCTCACCTCCCCTTCCCACTCAGCAGAAGAGGCTCCCGGTTGTTCCATCTCCTGTTCGCCGCCGCCGCCGCCGCCAATTACTGTTCTGGGACAAGACGACTCAGATCTCCCGGGAGAAATTCCAGGAACAACTGCAAACCAGAGCCCACTGCTGGGAGTGTGTGAGTGCAGCCCAGGCTCCGCTGGGGGATGGAGGGAGGCGGGGATGACCTGGGGCAGGTGGAGGCTGGGTCTTCTAAACTCCTGGGGTAGGGGTGGAGCCCTGGGAGTTTGATGAAAACCCCTCTCCGTCCCCAGAAAGTGTACATGATGTGGGTTTGCATATACACAACCTTTCATGCTCCTGTAGTGACCTCAGCTGACATACCCATGGGCACACAGGTTAAGAAACCCATCTTTTAGCAATGAACAGGGCAGGAGGGCCATGAGCCTGAGAGAGGGGAAGTCCAGAGGTCCTGGAACAATGCACCATAAGGAGGTGCAGGGACTCACTGGTGTGGTGGCTCACACCTGTAATCCCAGTACTTTGGGAGGCAGAGGCAAGAGGATTGCCTGAGCCCACGGGTTCAAGACCAGCCTGGGCAACTTGGCAAGGCCTTGTCTCTACAATAAATAAACAAAAATTAGCCAGGCATGGTGGCACGTGCCTGTAGTTCCAGCTACTTGGAAGGCTGATGTGGAAGGATCTCCTGAGCCCAGCAGGTCAAGGCTGCAGTGACTGTGAGCATGTCACTGCACTCCAACCTGGGTGACAGAGTGAGACTCCAACTCAAAAGAAAAGGCGTGGAGTTACTGAGAAGTGGGCCCCTTCATCTTGGGGCTTTTGGTCTTTCTCCATGCAGCCAAAGGTACAGCCTCCTGAGAGGACCATCACAAGCCCTGCAGAGTTGCTCCGAACCCCAACTCACTGTAAGAATGGCAAAACGCGGTCATGTCATATCCTCAGAACCCAGATTCCTCACTCTTGGTGTTTCTCACACCTCAAATCCTGTTCCCACCGCCCCCTTGCCTTCAGCTGCCCGGCTACCCCCAGAACTACTGGCTTTCTGGACCCGCTGTGCCCAGCTACCCCCAAGAGTTCTCAGGCGAAGGCTGCCCCCAGAGGCTGAAGAGGAGGCTGCTGAGAGGGAGTTAGTAGCCGAGGAGGAAAGGAGAAAGATGGAAACTCCTAGTGACATCGAGGTAACTGCATCACACTACTTCCTGCAAAGCCCAGCTCTGCTTTGCTGGAGCCCCAGCAGGCTGCCTTTTCCTGTCATGAGAGCCAGTGGCACAAGCTCACTGGCCTTGTGCCTTCTTAGGCCCAAGCCCTGCATGCTTGGGGTCTTAGTTCTTTTCCCACCCACAGGTCCTGAGGGAAGCCCAGGAGCCTAGTGGTCCCCTCTTGCTGTCTTCAGGTAAGCACCTAGAGAAGAGTGGGCAGTAGAAACCACCACCCTAACTACTGTCCCAGGAAACTACTCTAAAAACTGCCCTAGCTGCGAAGCTGCTTTTATCAGAGCCAGTATGTATGGCACAAGGAAGTGCAGATTCAATTCAGTTCTCCACCTGTTTTTTTTGTCAGGGTCTCACTGTTCCCCAGACTGGAGTATGGCTCACAGCAGCCTTGACCTCCTGGGCTCAGGTGATCTTTCCACCTCAGCATCACCATGCCTAATTTTTAAAAAATTTTGTAGAGACGAGGTTTCACTGTTATGTTGCTCAAGCTGGTCTTGTCACGCCCATAATTGCAGCACTTTGGGAGGCCAAGGTGAGAGGACTGCCTGAGCCTGCGGGTTCAAGACCAGCTTGGGCAACTTGACAAAACCTCATCTCTACAATAAATCATAAAAACAAAACAACAAAAAAGTCACTGCATGGCTCTGACATCTACTTAAACCAGGTTGCCGCGAGGTTCTGACTGCTTAGAGCCATGCAGAAGCTCTCTCAGCACCTTTCTCTCCACAACAGAGCTCTCCCTAGAAGCAGCAGAAGAGGAGAAATCCCGCACCATCCTCATCCCGCCAGAAGAACGGTGGTAAGCAGCCAGCTTTGTGGGAGCTGGGGGCCCACAGCCCTGGCCAGGTGGAGAAAATGGCTTCTAGGATAGGTAGGCCCCTGGTCACTGTCACAGCTGCCGCCTTCTCTGCTCTGACTCCCATACTCTCCTAGGGCCTGGACTGAAGCAGAGCAGCCAGAGCTTCCTGCATTGCCTGTGGTGCCTGAACTCCCCGAGGTGCCCATGGAGATGCCTTTGGAGCTGCCCCCAGAACCTGAGCTGCTCTCACTGGAAGCCGTGCACAGGTACCAGGGAGGGGTGGGGGTGTACATAGGCCTCAGCTGTTCCTTTTTTTTTTTTTTTGAGTTGGGAGTCTCACTCCGTCGCCCAGGCTGGAACACAGTGGCATACTCACGGCCACCCCAAGTAGCTGGAACTACAGGCGTGTGCTACCACGTCTTGCTTGCTTATTTATTTATTTAAGCTGGAACTACAGGTGTGTGCTACCATGCCTGGCTTATTTATTTACTGCAGAGTCTCGAGGTATTGCCAAGTTGCCTAGGCTGGTCTTGAACCTGTGGGCTTAGGCCGTCCACTTGGCTCGGCCTCCCAAAGTGCTGGGATTCAGGCTGAGCCACCAAACCCAGCCAGCTAACTGTTCTTGATCCTCACAGGGCAGTGGCACTGGAGCTGCAGGCTAACAGGGAACCCGACTTCAGCAGCCTGGTGTTGCCTCTCAGCCCCCGCAGGATGGCTGCTCGAGTCTTCTACCTGCTCCTTGGTGAGTGTGGGCATGTGTATGTGTGCGTGTGGGCTGGGGACACACACCAGTGGCTAATCTGGGGATTCCTCTCCTCCCCTCTTGACTAGTGCTCTCGGCACAGCAAATCCTTCATGTGGAACAAGAGAAGCCATATGGGCGCCTCCTGATCCAGCCAGGACCCAGATTCTACTGAGGCTGGAACTCATTTACAAAGCTGCCAGAAGACCAGCTTCATTAAATAAACCACGTCCTGCCTCACCGGGACCTGTGTGCATCTCTAACCTTGCCTTGAAAGTTACTGTTCAAACAGAAAACAAACTGTTTTTATTACAGATGATGTCATGACTCCATTTGTAACAGATCTAGCCTCAGGGACACCCCTGTGAGGCAGCAAGCAGGGCTGATTTCAAATGGATATGAAGCCCAGAATCTTTGGTAAAACGTGAGCTGGAACTGGGCTGAGAGGTGGTTTCAGGGTCTGGGCAGGCTCTGTTCACTGGCCCAGCTGCAGCTTGCAGTCTAAGTGAGGCCCAGCACAACCTGAAGCTCCTGAGCCTTGTCAGCAGGCAGCGAGCCCAGTGCTGCATGGAAACTGTCGGCGTGCTGTTTGGCCAGGAAGGTCAGGAGCAGCAATAGTGCAGCCTTGGTGTCTGGGTGGAGAGGAAGAAAGAGAGGTCCTGGGTCCTTGAAGGACTGGGCTCCTTAAATAAACCCTTGCTGCCCCAGGCCTTCTGAGCCATGCTGCTCCCGGCCTCCCCCTAGCCCTGCCCATGACTGCCACCCTCCCTCACCTGGTGGGATCTTGTTGTCAGCCAGAATGAGGCTGCAGATGCGCAAGAGCTCAGGAGCCACATCTATAACCTGTGGGGAAAGAATGGCTGACACAGGGGCAGTAGCAGCCTGGGTGGTTGGAACCAAGGAGAGGCAGAGTCGCCTACCAGGGCTGTTTGACAGGCATGCAAGACAAATGAACATGAGAAGAACTAATAAAACATGGTGGTGGTAATAATTTTTTTGGCGGGGATGTGTGGCAAGATGATTAAAGTCATGGCCTCAAGACCAAAAGAAGTCTGGACACCCAAGAGCTCCACCCATACAATAATCTTTACAGTTGTAAGATGAATGTGACACAAACACTGGGATATGAGTCCAAAACTAGCTACATAATACAGGCAAAATCTCTTCAGAATGCAGAGCTTCTCTTACTGAAATGTGTGGTGTGGTGGCCCCGATGTACCCAGGGTTCCATAAACAGTTTGAAAGAGCCCTGGTCTAAGAAATTAGTCTACAAAAGCTGCAACTGCTGGCAACTTTTTGGCACAGACAAGAGGGTAAAAATGGAGATCCCTAAGGAAAAATGCCATGTGAAGAGAAGAGAGGCTGCCAATCCTTGCAGACAAAAAAAAAAAGAGCAGAGTGTGAAGGACAGCCAAAACTGTCACCCTAGCCGAGCATGGTGGCTCACACCTGTAATCCCAGCACTTTGGGAGGCGGAAATGAGAGGTTTGCCTGAGCTCAGGGGTTTGTGACTAGCCTGAGCAACATGGCGAGACCTTGTCTATATAATAAATAAAAAAATTAGCTGGGCATGGTGGCAGGTGCCTGAGGTTCCAGCTACTTGGAAGCCTGAGGCGAAGGATCACCTGAGTCCAGCAGGTTGAGGCTATGGTGGCCGTGAGCATGCCACTGCACTCCAGCCTGGGTGACAGATTGCTCAAAACAAAAAACCCCCAATAAACTGTCACACTGTACAGCTGCAATTGACACCACTCCTGCCTACCACTGAGACTGGAGCAGCAAGCTCCCTTCAGGGCTGCCAGCATATAGCTTACCTGGTCAGGACTGCTCTGGTACAGGAAGCTGAAGAGGCGCCCTATGGTGACCCATTCCTCCAAGTCCTCCTTCAGTGGCAGCGCGTGCAGCAGAGCCGCCAGCACCTGGACACACAGATGCCTCAGACCAACCTGCCCTGCCTCTCCACCATTCTCTTTGGCTTCCAGGCCCCCCCGATCCCCCTCCTCCAACCCCTCACCTGGGGCTCTGGTTTCCTCGTGGGACTGGCTATCAGAAGGCGGGTGAGTGCCCCACAGATGTTGTCACGGACACGATCATGTCGTTCCCGTGCCAGGAGGGGCAAAAGAAGGCCCAGCAGCTTGGGGAAGTATCTGGTCCACAGTCAAGGAAGGGCCACACACACAGGGTAGACCTTGTCCACCCCAGAGCTCTAGGGATACTCTCCCAACCCCACGCCCCTCCCCTCCTGCAAGCTGAGGATACTCCTGGGCAGGGCGGCCCCCATGCTCGGCCAGCACACCCAAACCAAAGATGGCATTGCTTCGCACCTCAGGGTCTGCCTCCCGAGCGGTGCTCAACAGCACAGGAATCAGCCGAGACACAAACTGGGCCGAGGCAGCACCCAGGCCCTGAATGGACTCTGCCAAAGTCCCCACTGCAAAGGACTTCTCTGCCACTGTGCAGCCCTGTTTCTGTTAGCGGAGGGCAGAGAGGAGTGCCAATCGGCCTGGGACTAGGATAAAGGCTGGGTTGGGTACTCGGTGCATAGCTGGATTAGGGTTTGAAGCCAGAGGATAGATACTCACCGTCTTGCATAGCAATAATGGCAGGAAGCCAGCAAAGAAGGGGGCAAAGGTATCTCCCCCAGCTGCAGCCGCCAGGGCAGGAATGGCCTCTCCAGCATGCTCTAGCAACATGGCGTCATATTCAGCCTGTGGAGTAAAGCACTAGGGCCAGCTCCGTGACTGCACATCTCTTGACCATGCTCCACCTGCACTGGCTGCAGGGGGTCCCTGGGACTGCTCTTGGTTGACAGGGCTCGACCCTCTCAGGTTGGGCTTCTTCCCCAGCCCTCCTGCTCTCACCTTTCCCTTCCAGCCTACCCCAGTTCACACTGCTCATCCCCCCTGACCTCCCACTGGCTTAATGGGTTCACAGCTGCATCATTCTGGCCATTACCAATCGCTTTTTTTTTTTTTTTTGAGTTGGAGTCTCACTCTGTCGCCCAGACTAGAGTGCAGTGGCCGCTCCCAGCCACCGCAGCCTCGACCTGCTGGGCTCCAGCGATCCTTCCACCTCAGCCTTCCGAGTAGCTGGAATTATAGGCGTGCGCTACCACGCCCGGCTGATTTTTTGATTTATTGTAGAGATGAGGTCTCGCTGCCCAGGCGGGTCTCGAACCCACGGCCTCAGGCAATCCACTCACCTCAGCCTCCCAAAGGTGTGGGATTACAGGCTGAGCCACCGAGCCCGGCTACCAATCCCTTTTAGTGGCCCTGGCTGCCCCAGGCCAAGCCTAAGTACACCGTCCACCCCTCCCCTACGAACACTTCGTCCCAGTTTTCTGTAGCATCTGTAGCTCTCACCTGATCATCATCCTCCTCCTCTTCATCCTCGTCAGTGTCTTGACAGGCTGTCTACAAGAAGAAGTAGCTCAGCTTAGCCCGAGCTTCTCATTTCATGGGGGCAAAGGGTGGGGACAGAGCTAGACTCGGAACCTCTATTGCCCACCTGGAGCCCCGCACCTCTGCTTCCCAAAACCCACCTGCCCCGCTCACCTTCCTTTGCAGCACGGCCTTGATTATGCCACAGAGCTCGGCAAGGCGCCCAGGGGGGTGCAGTGTGAGGGTCCCACAGTTGCGCAGCACCCCCGTCAGGGCCTCCAGTACGGCCATCACCACCTGGCGCTCCCGCTCCCCATTCACTGCCTGCATGTAGGATGGCACCACCCGGGCCAGGGCGGCCTGCAATGCTGGGGACATTGGGGGCTGAAGCCCTGGTCAGGCCCTGCCCCACCCCAGAGCCCCCAGTCTGGCCTGGCCTCCCCTTCTCACCAGCAGTGTTGGATTCTGAGGGGCAGCTCTGACAGGCCTTGTGCAGTGCACAGCAGAACTGACCCAGAGCCTCATGGGCTGCCTTCCGCACGTTCACGTGAGGACACTGTGGAATGAAGAGGAACAGGATGTGCTTGCTGTGTGCAGGGTGAACAAGGGCTCCCAGCCCAAGGACCCCACCCACTCTGTCCATCAGCCCACTCACCTCCAGCAGTTTGAATACTTCTTCAAAGACACTTTCCATGTACGGAAGGAAGGCCACACTGTGGAGAGACACATGGCCGTGAGGAAAGGGGTCCCGGGGCAGTGGGGGTAGGGGATGTCCCCAGTGCCACCGAAGGGCTGATACTCACTTGGTGTTCACAGAGATCTCCCCTAGGGCAGCACAGGTATCTTCCTTCTCATCGAAGAAGGCATTCTCCACACTACACCTAGAGTAAGGTGGGAGGCAGTGGTGATCAGGCACCAAGAGGAGCAGATCTGGCACTAGGTCCTTGTTCAAAATCAAAGTTTAGATTCCTCTAACCAGAATAGTACCCCTTCGCACCCTGAGATCTCTGAGTCATCCTCTTCTTCCACATCCTCATCCATGAGCTCCTCCTCTTCCTCTCCATCACTCTCATCGGCAAACAGAAGGAAGGAGCCACATCCGTCATACTGAAGCTGGACGGAGGAGGCACAACAGGGATATGGGCTCAGCTGGGCCCAGGAAATAAATCCCATTGCAAGGCTGGCCTTGCCCAACTGGCCCAGCCACCCACTGCTCACCACAATGCCCTCAGTAGAACGCAGTGACAGCAGCATGAGTGTGGTGATCTGTGGCAAATAGGGAGCCAGGCCTTCACCCATCAGCCCTGATAAGGCTGCAAACAGGCTGTACCTGGTTGAAGTAGACAGAAGCTGTACGGTCCTGCCTGCTTTAGGCAAACAGGATGGGGGAGCCCAGGGAAACCTGGCTACCAAACAATACCAAAGAACTGGGGTCTGGGGTAGGTACTGTGGATCCGGTGGGTGGGCAGAAGGGGTGGGGAACAGGGACAGGGAAGAGGGTAGGGGCAGGGTGAGGGGTCACTCACGTGCAGCGCCGCAAGTCAGGGTCGTCTACCTGGTCGCAGAGGCCCAGCCCGAGCTGGCAGCATTCCTCAGCCAGGGGCCTCATGGGTTCCCCCACTGCTCGTGCCAGTATCCCCAGTGTCTCTGTGGGGGCAAGGGCTCCATTAGGAGGTAGGATAGGGGCCCACAGGTGGCAGCCAAGAGGAATTAAAAAATCCCACCCTACCCTAGGTGCAGCATGAAGAATGCCTCGTCTGATGAGAAGGAAAACACCTGTGCTGCCCTAGAGGCGATTTCTGTGAACACCAGGCAAGCACTGGCCCTTAATTAGTACTGGGAGCCCCTCACTCACCCAGGCTCTGGATCTGCACAGGCTGAAGGTCCTCACGGCCTGTCAACAGGAATTCCCGCAGGTGCTCCATGATGGTGGGGAAGTAGGGCAGCAGGGAGGCCTGAGCAGCTGTGGCTGCAGGATGGAAGGACAGAGTCAGAGTGGGAAGGGGCAGGGACCACCTGCTAGAGGGGACTCTGGGTAAGCCTGTGCCTCTGCTTCCTGCCTCTCTCCTCACCAATGGCCCCCAGGACGCTCACTGCCAGCTCTTTGGCCCGTGGGCTGCTGGGGTTCCTCAGAGGCTGCAGCATGCACTCCATGAGCTCCGGAAGGTAGGACTGCACTTTGGGCCCTGTGGGAAAGGATACTCCTCTACCAACCAACACAAATCTCCTACTTTCTGCATACCCACCTCCCTCTGGGCTGACCCTCCCTGTTGCCTCACCACACCCCTTTGTGCACCACAGGTAGCAATTGAGAAGATGTACATCCGGCCCTCTTAGCCAAAGCTGTAGCCTTCAGCCCCTGCCCCGCACTCCCCATTGCCATCACTACCTAGGTTCTCCACGAAATTCTCCAGGGCATAGCAGGCCTTGGCTAGGTGGTGTGTATGTCCTGGAGGCACCGACTTCAGGGAGGTGAGGAGCAGCGGCATCACCTCCCCTGAATAGCTGCTGATGTGGGGCTGGGGGTAGGAGCAAGCGGGACCTGAGTCAGGTTCACCCACAGGGCACACACTTGAGTGCCAATGGCAGCAGGGATTCTTGGAGATGAAAGCTGAGGGGAAGCTGGTCCCTGGCATGGTCAGGGGACTCTCAAGTGGCAGCTGCCCACATTCAGCCTTGCTGACCTGTAGATTCTCTGAGAACTGGCCCAGGGCAAAAAGTGCAGCATTGCGTACAACTTGCGAGGGGTCCTCCAGGCCTTTGCACACAATCTGCAGCAGTGGGGTCAGCAGTCTGGATGGGACAGGAGGAGAAGACATAGTCTGAAGGGCAGGACCTAAGAGCCCTAGGCTGACCCCTGGGAAAAAAACAAGACTTTCTCTCACCAGTTAGTGGACACCACCCTCCGATCCCTATAACTGGGAGGCCACTTCATTTATGTTCCAAACCAGGACACTTTTGAGAATGGGGGGGGGTGCTATCGATAATACACTTGAACAAGTGTAAACCAGGACTACTATGGTTCTCCTCCCATGGTGTACTCTCACCCCAGATGGGGGCATAGGCACCTCTGCCTGATGTGGTCACCAGCTCCATCGGACAGCACAGCCAGCACCAGGAACCCAGCCTTGCGCTGGTATGGGTTCTCACTCCGCAAAGCTTCCTCCAGCATGGGCATCTAGGGGAGCACATGGCACTCTCCTGAAACCCCAGCAAGAGTTGCCTATTTCTGTGGCACCAGGCCTTTCATACCTCCCAAGGTCCAAATATCCTTGGCTTTAAGAGGCTAGGCACACCTGGGAATAGGGACACCAGAAGGACGGAGCCACACTTACCAGCTGGGGACAGAGCTTCTCAGGGGGCAGGTGTAGTGCCAGCATGTCCACAACCTAAGATAGTACAGGAAGACTTTGCTTGACTTCATCTCTGCCTCCCCAACCTCCCACAGCCACCTAATACCTTGCCCCCTGCCCCTGTCCTATATCTCACCTGTACAGCAAAGTGCTTGGGAGTCTCCCCCATCAGCCCAATCTTCAATTCTTCCTCTTCTGAATCCTGGTCCTCGGGATCCAACTGGCCCAGGGGGGGCTCAGCAGCCATAATGGGGAAAAGAGCATGCAGCAGGGGTGACAGGAGACGATTCTTCAGTAAGGCCTTGACAGAGAAGTGTCCCTGAGAATCTGCTCCCAAGATTGGCTCACATTAAAAATTCTAGCCTTGCCAGGCTCGGTGGCTCAGCCTGTAATCCCATGCCTTTGGGAGGCTGAGGTGAGTGGACTGCCTGAGCCCACGGGTTCGAGACCCGCCTGGGCAACTTGGCGAGACCTCATCTCTACAATAAATCAAAAAATTAGCCGGGCATGGTAGCGTGCGCCTGCAGTTTCAGCTACTTGGAAGGCTGAGGTGGAAGGATCGCCGGAGCCCAGTGGTGGCCAGGAGCGGCCACTGTACTCTAGTCTGGGCGACAGAGTGAGACTCCAACTCAAAAAAAAAAAAAAAAAAAATTCTAGCCTTCCAGGCCACAAGGGGTCCAACAGAGATTCTCAATCCCCCAGGCAGGAGTGGGGGTGAGGCCAGGCCAAGGCTTGAGCCTCCACAGTACTTTAGATACCCTCAGATGGACAAAAAGCCCTAGGAGTGAGATGAAGAGTGAAGATAGGGATTGGATGATATACATCAGCAGGCACTCACCTTGCTCTTGACTTTGACCAAGAAAGTGAGGCAGCAGAGAATTCGTACACGTATCGCATTGCCCAGGACCACATTCTTAGCCACCTGCCCAGAGACTAATGAGAATCAGAGACAGGCAAGGAAACTCACAGCAGAATATGCAGCAGGGTCTATGCCCACTGCAGACTCACCTCTAGGCAGAATGTGAGGACCTCAGAGAGGTGGGGGGTGATGATGGGCACTTCCGACTCCAACAGTTCATCCAAGGCCTCCAGAGCTTCACAGGCCTTTGCCTGACAGACAAACAAGTCATAGGGTTACCATGCTCTATGTCAGTGGACCAGGCTGGGTGCTTCTCACTCTCCTTCCAACGGAATCCTGCCCACTTGTCCTCACCTCATCTATGGGGATCAGAGCCTGCACAGCCACGATGAGCTTGGGCACCAACATCCGAGCAAGAGGCTGGGGGACACAGGATGAGCTGAACCACAGAAAGTATGATGCAGCCTAATATCAAGCCCCAGAAGCTGGCAGCTTTCTCACAGTCTGAATTCTGAGGAGGAGCCCAGGCATACCAGCTAGGCCCAGCCACCTACAGCATCCCCTCCCAATTGTTAGGAAAGGCAACAGGCAGACTGAAAACTCCAAAGCAGCTCTGTAACCTTTAAAGGTAAAGACATGAAGGCCCAGGGAGGTGAGGGTCTACATCTCACCACGTCTTCAGTGCTGAGGTAGGGGGCCATGGTGGTCAGAGTGCGCAGAGAGTAGAAGAGCAGCCCAGGTGAGGATACCTCACTAAGAGTCTCATTCAGAAGGCGAAGAAGCTCCTGGTGGTGAGGCTGGAAAGCCTCGGGCTGGGTGGTCACCACCACACTCAACAGCAAGAGCCCCATCTGTTCAGGAGTAGGGGATATGCAAGAAAAGCTTACATATTCCATACAGCCTCTTGGTCCCTCCCTCCTGCCAACCATATGATGGTACCTCTCTTTCAGGGATGGAGGGGCTGTGGGTACTGTGCTGAAGCAGCTGCATGAGCTGAGGCCAGGCTTCCAAGCCTTCCTTTCGAAAAATGGTGGCTGAGAGCTGGGCCAGACCGAGGCTCACACAGTGCCTGTAAACAGAAGAGATCTCCCCAATCACCCTCCAGTACATCCCCCTGCACACAGTGGCCCAGCCTTGATAGGGTGGCCAGGAGAGAAAACTTCAGGAGATGTGGGTACAGAGTCTTTGCTAAGTGGGGGAAAATGAGACAGTAGCTCAAAGAAAGCCCAGCAGCATTGTGGGTACATAATCTGGTGAGTTCAGTCTCACTCTGCCTGAATTTCACCCTAATTCTTCTGACTTGGGTTTCGCAGATCATCATCACCTATTCTCAAGAACTTTAGCCTTCAACACAGCCTTAGAATTCTCACTCCACCCTTGGTCTGAAATTCTTGACCCCCAGGTCCCAGCTAGGAGCTGAAAGAGAAGACAAAAACCCAGAGATAGTCTCAGTCTAGTCAGAGCCCCAGAGGAGGCGGTAGGTACTTACTCTGTTTCTTTCTGCAGGGCCGTCAGGATCAGAGACTTAAGGCTGGAACACAGATAGCAGAGGTGTGGTACCCGGTATGCACAAGAGCAGCCTCAGCCTGCCCTGGCCCCGCCCCGCCCCAGGCCCAGCCCACCTCTCCCGGAGCTCTGCGGCTAGCCGTCGCCAGCGGGTGCTCAGTCGTCTGCGGGTCAGCACAGCCGCAAACTGGCGGATCTAGGGCGAGGAAGCAGGCATGTGGGGGCCTGGGAAGGAAAGCGTTGAGCGGGCCGCAGGGGGGATGCTGGGGATTGACCAGTGGCGTACTGTGGGAAGCTGGGAGAGGAGAGCAAGGGGCCTCACCTGAGGGTCGGCCGCGGAGACCAGCAGGTCGCAAAGCGCCGGCAAGGCGGCGGGGTCCCGAAGAGCGATCTGGAGCTGCTCGGTGGCCTGGAGGGAGATTGGGGGTCAGAGTAGGGCCTTTCTCGCACCTCCCGCCCGCCCTGGCCGTCCCCGCCTGTCGCGTACCCGGCGGATGCGCTCGGTGTCCGGCAGCAGAAGCTCCCGTAGGAGCTGCTCCAGCCCGGCGGGCTCCATGGTAGCTGCGGAGCCGCCGTTACGGGGCCGGGTCGGGGGAGGGACAGCACGTGGAGGCTGACACCCACTTCCGGCGGAAAGGGCGTTGTCGCGTGCCCCTCGGGTCGCCGCGGAGACTTAACTCACTTCCCACAAAGCTCCCGCTTCGCCACTTCCGTTAGGATGAGCACCGGCTGGACCATGGAAACAGGGCCTTGGCAATGTAGGTTCCCCACGCCGAGAGTTCCCAAGATTCATTGGAGAACTCGAGTTTCCTGCAATTCGGCGGCCAACTCGACTTTTTTTTTTTTTTTTAAAGGGACTGTGCCCTTAACGCTCGAGTTCCAACATCGAGACCACAACCTCCAACAACCAGGCGCGATGATTCACGCCTGTAATCCCAACATTTTGGAAAACTGAGGCAGCAGAATCGCTTGAGGCCAGGAGTTTGAGACAACCTACAACTACAGCATCCTTTTTCTTAATAAATTTTATTTCGATAATTGTAAAAAGAAAAATCAGGACCAAAAGCTAAAGGCAACTTAAAAAGTTCAAATATATACTCCTTATATAATAGAGATTTATAATTTGCAGGCCCTCTCTGGGAAAAGCAGCCCAAAGGGCAAAGGGGAAGGCAACAATGCCATCACACAATTGAGTCACTCAATCAAAAGAGAAGCTGGTGGGAGAGCTCAGTGGAGGGGTGAAGAAAGGGAGAAAAGAGCAATAGTTCTGCCATCCAGAACTCAGTCCATCTTGAGGTTTACATATATATAACGAATGAACTTTAGGGAAGAAAAAAAGGAGATGGTGCCCAGCATGAGGAAGAAGACATAACCAGTGAGTAAGGAGTAGCCAAAGAACTCTACTGTCTGTACCACCCCAGACATGTTGGAGCGCCGGGCATAGTAGAAAACCGAGTAGAGGAAGATGAAGAGGCCAGTGGAGCCAACACTTAGTACTGATCGCCACCACCAGCGGTAATCCTCCCCAGACAACTGGAAGTAGGTGAGTGCAATGGAGATGCAAGCCCCCACACTCAGCAGGATGGCGAAGACAAAGAAGAGGATGCCATACAAAGTGTACTGCTCCCGACCCCATACTGTGGCAAAGATGTAGTACAGCTCCACAGAGATGGCACTGTGAAGAGAAGAGATGATACACAGCGTTAAAGGGCTGTGAACTGTCAGCACAGTGGCTGGGCCAAAATCTAGCCCCCACCCTCCCATGTTGCTGGGCCACTGGTAGAAAGTGAGTCCATTCCACTCTCTGCCCCAGATTTCTTAGCTTCATGGAGACTTTTTTGCCTATGATTAGCCGCTCTCGTTTCAAGAACATCTTCCCAGATAGATTGAGGGCAGGTATCTTGTCTATTTTCTTTTCTACTGTATTTGCCTGGCACAATGAGGTACTCAACACATTAAATGAATAGTCATATGGGCTTTAGGCCCCACATGATGCCCATAGACATTAAAGTCAGAAACTACGAAGGTAAAGGGAACAGTTCCTCTGGAGAACTTTACAAGATATGAAACACTCATATCTGAACCTACTCAAACTCAGTCCTGCTTGGGGATAGGAGGAACCATTTAATGATCTCTGCCTGAATGGTACAGCTGAGCTGGGGATTATCACTGAAGTTGGGTAAGGGTACTGGATGAGTGGGGACAGGAAGAGTTGAGGTCAGGAATCAGAGTGATGATCGTGGAATAAAGGGAGGATACCTGAAAGGCAGGAAGCCTCCAACAGTCATGTGGATGAGAGTAGACTTGTACCAGGGCTGGGGTGGGATCTCCCGGGCGATGTTCTTGGTGCGACAAGGTGCATCAAAGGGGCTAGCGTTGTTCTTCCCGAAGATACCTCCAATGACGGTGAGGGGAAAGCCCACCAGCAGCCAAACCGTCAGAAGTAGCAGGATGGTCGTGGCTGGCAGAGCCTGTGTTGAACCATTGGCCCAATGCACCGAGTTCACCACACTCCACGTCAGGAAGAAAGGCACTGCAGGGATGGGCCCCCGGAGGGAGGGTCAACACTAGGAGCTACATCCCTGAGGGCACTCACTCACACCGGACCTAGAGGGGAGATGGGTGAAGCAGCCCTCCACTCTAACAGCAGACTTATATTACTGGATGTCCATGCAGAGTCGAATGCCTTCACCTCTACCCTTTCATATCCCGTTGTTCTTTGCTCCTTATCTTACCAACCACCCCCATGCCTACCTAGTGTCATCAAGGATCAAAATAATTGGTAAATAATGATCTAAGAGTTACACAAATCCACCTGCCTCCAGGGGTATCTTGCCTTGGCATTGGTAATTCCTAGCACTGGATTAACACCCTGTTTTCAGAAAGCCCTGGTTCAAATATAAATGTAATGGCATATAAATCAGACACCTGGGATTGGGAGCAAGATGGTTTCAAGATGGGCATGGTGGCTCAGGCCTGTAGTCGCACACTTTGGGAAGTGAAGATAGGAAGACTGCCTGAGCCCAGGGGCTCAAGCCTAGCCTATGCAACATGGCAAGACCTCATCTCTACAATAAATCCAAAAATTAGCTGGGTATGGTGGCGTGTACCTGTAGTTTCAACTACTTGGAAGGCTGAGGTGAAAGGGTTGCCTGAACCCAGTAGGTCCAGGCTGCGGTAGCTGTGAGCATGCCATTGCACTCCAGCCTGGACAACAGGGTGAGACTCCGACTCAAAAAAAAAAAAAAATAAA